ATAAAATATGTCATAGAGTGGAAATCGCTCCAAAACCAACACATTTTGTCTCTGTTCTGGACAAGTTCGACCAATCTAGCGTGAATAATCCGACCCATCTGTCCGGTCCCTCCAAACATTGGGCTTGTCGACATCCTTGTCACGTGTCACGGACTAATTGGCCTCAGGTCGGAGGATGAGCGATCGACGAGATGAGCTCAGCTCGATGTTTCTCCCGTGTGTCACACTGGAAACATTTTTGTATGTCGTCTTCACATCCTAGGTCGCTAGGCTTTAACTCTAAACTGTTTTCACGTTACTTCGGGCTAGTAAAATCCATTGGTGATTGATGGGATTTGTACACGAGACCTCTGGGACCGAAGAACCACGCTTTACCACTAGACCAGCTCGCTCAACGTTGAGGGCATGGCAAATAATCTGTTTTGTATCAGAGTCCCAACACATTAACCGAATCTAAATTTTGCATGTTTGTTAGGTTGGTATCGGGATGTACACATCTGCACATATCCATTTTCTAGCACAGTCTCCGGGTTCGCTGCTAAAGTTTCTGTGTCTTAAAAAGGACTCTCGAGAAAGTAAATTGTTCCGGAAAAATTGAAATAGCTTTTCCCTTAAACATGCAATAATGTTGAATTATAATTTTAATGTTCCACGAAATAAAATTATGTAACACGTAACTTACACGCTTTAAACATATAGTTAGTGTTCTGTACACGAAAATGTTCTATTTGTTCCTGAGTATGTAGATGACAACACTTTTATCGAGGTAGAAAATAATGTAGCATGTAAAAAAGTTTAACAACTCGGGCGACAAGCAAATTGATTTCATATCCTGACATATTCTAAAGCAACAACAGGCACGAGGTTGTTAAATAAACCAAAAGGTAATCCATTACGAGCTCAGCACTTTTCACCCACTTCGAAAATGTTTTCCATTACGTGAGAATTAGCCAGGGATGGCAAAGTTGTCAACATTCTGCCCACCACTAACCCCAACTTATTTCGATCTTCCTTTCCACTAATTGTTTCACCAAGCCCCTTACACGACTACAAATTCTGTCAAAACCTCCTTCAATGTCTTCATCTAGTAAAAAACAGCTAGACCAAAATACAACAGCTATTTCTAATTTGTGTAGCTTCAAGCCTTCAATTGTCAATCATTTTATAAAAAACTGGAAAAAACCAAAAGGTCGACCAATTATGGAGGCTGTATACTTGCGTCACCCGTTAGATCGCGGTGGACGAGGCGTGCAAGACAAATCGACTGGGTAAATATTTAGAGGACCGACCACCTGGCCAAGTGACATTTCTAGGACACATTATAATACTGTAAACCACTCTGGCAGGTCCCGGAACAGTGTTAACCAGTGTGGAAACGCAGGACATTATAATTGCTTAATGTAGAACTTATAGAAGTTATACTCGATATTGTTTGGAAATTTACTAAAACGAAGATTGAGAAAATTACTAGCATTTCTGCTTCTAGAGTGGTATTATTATTCTAGGACTTCATTGATAGTTCATTTTGCAAAATATTGACTTAGGTGCTGTGTGATGTTACGAAATTTAATACAATATGAATTTTATTAAAGGAAACACAAAGGCGAGATGTAAAACTACTAGGTGAAACCCGTCGAAATCGACGGTTACTTTCAAGATTCATCTAACTGCGATAAATATAGAGTTAAATTATCAAAACTTTAACATTGCTTTGTTATACGAGTAATTACGCAAGTTACAAAATATGGTTTGATTATTCAATATTTCCAGTACGTCATCGAAGTTATTACTACTATGTTAACTGGTTTCATCTCCTTTTTGAAGAACATTTAGAATCGTGTGGTTGGATCTTTTGTGGTAAACACTTCCGCGATTTCATCAGTGCAAAGCAGATTAAATCTATGATTTTTTTTTAATCTGGTGAGAAGGTTTATTCTAACTTTTAAAGGTTTTTTCTTGCTGTGTAAGTTTGATTTTTCCCTTAATCACGTCGGTCATCATACCGTATTTCTGTGCCAATTAATCAACCTTTAGCATAATTTTAAGAGATTTGGCCGCGAGGTTGCTATTAAAGCTGGAATTCCTTGACAGCTAGATATCAGTTGTCTAAGCCTTATCAATTACATAAAGTTGTCAATATAAAGTGTAATCAGTATAGTTTACATAAACTAAGAAGCGTCAGCGCTCTCAACCGTGAACAGACATGAAACACACACTAAACAGGCTCGTGATTTTGCAATAGGATGAGACTTGCTGTAGGATGTACTTTAGTAATCAATGACAAGGGTGAAACACAATTTTCAAAATGCGTCACTTTGCTCTTACTAACTATTGCATTTGATCTAGAAGTCTTTAGTTACAAATGATCAAAAAGTAAATGTTCAGAGTTTCGAATAGTTAAAAAAAAAATAAAAAAGAACGCAGCTGCAAGTAACCTAAAGAGCAAAAGATCTAAAGTTGCAGTCTTATCAAAAGCTTTTTGAGATCAGAGGGAACTATTCTTATGATCCACAACTTTATTTCATATGGTTGGTATCATAATTTGGTCGTTGCATATGAACATGACTATGGTTGGAAGTATTCATTTCATGCCTATGTGGTGAACATATTTGAACTGAGCTACCGAAGAGCCAAATTTCCAACCATGACAACTGAAATAACCGATTACTGCAAACTATCGTACCTTTTAAGTCACATTAGCTATCTTAGTATCCGTAACTATAAGGGAGAACATTTTTTTGAACAATGGATCACTTTATGCGAGGCTCATTTAAATACGTTATACAGTAACTAATAGAAAATTCGCTGAGTATGTTCCAAAGATATGATACGTCTACTTCATCAAAAAGTCAGTTACGACAACGTACCGTAACTATACACCCTCGTTTCAATAAAACCCCTAAAAATCAATGCAAATCAAAAGTAAATAGATAGGAATATCAAATACACCTTATACATCCGGTTCAGTGCTGAGTCATCAGTAAATAGTGCTCATTGTCTCATATCGCTGATATATCTGTCTGCTGAGTCCTGTCGACTCAGCACTTAGTGGCGTAATGACTGACTCAGCCTCTTGCAGCTCACCTATATTAGTACTAAGAAAACTATACAACGTTAACTTTGTCGTTGAAATTGAGTAAACTATAAAGTGAAGAGGGTAAGATTAGATTTAATTGTATACTATAATCTTGACAGTTCGGCAAAGATAAAAGTTAAAGTGAGTCGGTTTGTATAATCTTTTATACCGACTCACTTTAACTTTTACAAAATCAAAAGTATTGATTATTACATCATTAGGTTAAAGCTCCTTAAAATCGTTACTTCATTACTGGTTTATTTTACACTCATTTTTCCAACTCCAGTAAAGCAAGGGTCTTGTTCCATAAATAGATAATTACACTCGAGGAAATTATTAGTATTTTACTCCGAGAAAAGAGAAAATGTCAAGAAGCACTAATGACCCCGTCTTAATTATTTCAATAATCCTCATCAACAAAGAAATTACGGTCGTGAGCCATAAAGAAATATTGAGAAGCTAATTATAATATTTTTATTATTTATGAAGCTCTTCAGATTTTGCTAACGTTAACTTATACAGTTACCCTTTGGCTAACAATGATAAACCTAAGCTATGGATAGTATAAGTAATTTGGCTCCTTTCATTTTCGTGTGATATGAACAAGTGATTTGTTTTTTAACCTTTCAGTCGTATATATATATATTTTTTTTTTATATTTAAGTGTTATGTGACTTAGAACGAGCCTAAAGATATTCAATTTACCACGGTGGGGTAACAATTGACAAATTAATCCAAAACACAGCCGTTAAAAATAAAAATAAAATTAAGGTCTTTAAGATTGTTTTAACACCTACCTTGCAACAACAATGTTACCTTTATTGATGAATTTTCCCAAAGTACCCATGAACTTTTGAGAAAACTACAAGTCACAGCCCCATAAACCATAATATACTTAAAATGTTCGTCATGACTAGAACCGTTGCGCAAAACTATCCATTGTTTCATAAATTGTTCTTTAAGGTCGTAATTCCTTTCTAAAGGGAACTTTCCATATACCTAAAATGTTAAAAATACCTCAGCTGTCCTGTACTTATTTATTTGTTTTTCTTTCTATTTATTACCTTATTAAAATCAGGTGTGATTATTTGTTTGTATTACCGTATTCTGTTTTGTTTATTTCAGCTTAACTTAACCAATCAATAGTTTGAATACTTATGAAATCAAACGGGGTGAAGCCCGTGGGTAACAGATACTTACCATAATTAAATATTAGTTTATATATTTCCATCGTAAAAGATGAATTTTACTCGTAGATCAATAATTTATACTGAATATCTTGCTTTCTCACCTTAAAATCTTTAAGTTTCTCTCAGTCAAAACATATTAAAAATGGTTACGTTTTTTAAGATAACTGTTCAAACTCTGCTCTTGTTAAAACATAGCGTCACACATAGTGCCCACATAGTGTCAACATAGCGTTTATCTTGTTGAATTTCATCGTCAATTGACAGCCCTATTACAAGTGGCATCCAAGTTCAGAATCGATCTAGCAAGAAAAACATGTTTTAAAGGACATTTGAAAGGTTTTATGTTTTCAGGGTAAATAATGGAAAACCTATTTGAACCCCATAAACCCCTTCTCCCCAGTCTGATCATTATGGTTCAAAAACTCTCTAATAAATAAAGGTTTACACGTTGGATGATTTTTACTCGATTTATCGTGTTTACAGACGAACGAATGATTTCGTGCCACTGTTTATGAATTTGAACAAAGTGCTTTGGTGTAATAGTAAACTAGCCCTTGGTCTAGGTTGTCGTGCTACCTACGGAAATAGCTCAGTAGCCTAAAATCGTAGGCATGTATTCCGTACCACACTCAAAAAGGAACTCTCTAAGAAGATTCGAATCAGTGAGTCGACTCGCCCTCAGCGCGTTTCGCTCACAGCCACAGCCACAGCTTCAGTCTTCAGTCGCGCTTCCCACCTCCTACTGAACGCTCGTACCCAGTTGGCTCTCATCACCGCGATGTTTGCGATGTTTCCGTCTCCTCCTAGCCTCAGATAGACGGAGGTGATGTAACGGTGATATGTATCGGACGTTGATATGTGCTTGTTGGTGATTATGTGTGCCCTGGCGCTGATATGGGATGCAACGGGAGCGGCAGTCACCGCTGATAACAGGACTCCTGTGATAAGGGGCGACTGCCTCCACGAGGTATGCTGGTTTTGATTACGGATGGTCATAACAGTTTATTTGTGCTAATATTTGGATTTGGGTAATTTCTTGTTCAGCTTTAATCCCTAAAGAGATAAAATGTTAAAATTGCAAGCTTTCAGGTAATATATAATTCAGTAGTAACATTTTTGTGGTATTCGACCTCCTTGGTTGTTTAATATCCAGGACTCGTAATTAAAAAATACATACTATTTATTACACACTATACTTAATATTAGGTGCTATAGACAAAATTGTCGATATGAAGTTGACATTTCGACGTGAACGCTCTGCATAAGGGTTGGAAACTATTTTCAACTACAAATAAGATTTCCTACCTATGCACTTGACTGTGATTAATGATCCCTTTATATTATACAGCCAATTAAATGTAAGTGGGTTATATTAAATTTACTAAAGAGATTTCCAGTTGATGAAACAATGCCTATTGCCTGGACAACATTATTACTCAGTTTTGGCAATCAGGACTTTTATTTAATATATATTTAGAGTATTACATCAAAGAGTATACATAAACAAGTGTTGGAACCTAAATTTTTATTAGACATTCAAAATAGCACCAAAACATAAAAGTTGTATAAAGAAGTTACTATTTTATAACTTTTTTAATTACTAAAAATGCAACATGTTTTGACCTGGAATGGAGCATGAGTGGTGAATGAAGTCAAGTGGCTTAACTTTGTTGTTTTGTTAATGAAATCAAATTATGCTCAAGTCAGGAATAAAACGTGATGATAGCGATAATAGACAGTAGTCAGGTCCGGTTTCAAACTGTCAAAAAACTATTTAATTTTCCCAAGATCAAGATCAAACCGTCTACCTTGATTTTAGGAGGGTTGTATAACCACTTCAATAATTAATACCTGTATGGCCATTCAATAATTTCGTATTGAATAAAGCTAATATTAAAATATAATTTCGTCATCATTTTTCAAGGATGTTTTTTCATTCTCGGTAAGTGATGAATGTGAGTTCAACATTGACCTTGAAAATTTCTGGAATAAAGTCTACAGGAAACAACCTGATGTAACTTCAATTAGGATAATTGCTTTGTTAGCCATCCAGGATAGTTAGTTGGCTGTTTATGGGGAGACGTAGGAGTTGTTTGAGTAACAAGATATGGAAATTAGTCAAGGGAAAAGCTTATTCAATGGGTATAATCACCAATTTCCTGATTCATCACTACAGCATTTTTAATTGCCATACAACACAAGCGTTTAAAATGATCAGTATGTGCTGTATCGTTAAAAAGTTATATTTTAAACTTATTTATTAATATTGGAAGGATGTAGTTTTATTGCAGGGACAATTGTCAATAGTATTTTCTAATTAAGTATATTTTAGTTAAGAGCACTGTATGCTTAAGTATAAAATGACTTGTTTCAGTTTGTTTAAGGGTAACTCTTTGTATCCTTAACACTTATCTAACTAGGGCGACGAATTTCAAGCTAAGCCTCTATTTTTATTTGACAAGACTTCCTGCTCTAAATTCGTCTTAAATAATTTGCTTAATATGTACATTTTTGTAATATAATGAGAAGTGATCATTAATATTCATCTTGATGTTTACTTAGTTAAAATGCTTGTCAACTAAATTAACCTTTTGATCAAGTTGATTTATTAGAAAGATTTTTTATTTGCTGTTACATTCAAATATGAAGAGAAAATGGAGCTCTTAGGTAGAATCTTGTCTTACCTCGATAAAGGCGGATCTTATAAGTAAAAGATTACACTTAGCACCAAAAATGTGAAGGCGATTGCAATTAAAAGGATTACAAAGTCATCCACTAAAAATGTCAAATAAAGTTATTAAACTCCATCCTTTAAATTACTTAATGAGCAATACATTAATAAACAATACATAACATCTATAGGCAAGCATGTTTCTTTAAAACCTTTTTTCTCAGCTCGTGTGCATCGCAGGGAAAATGCATACTGTTATAAAGATATTTTCCTATAGATGTGTAGAATCTCTTTAAAAATTAAAATAGGCTCAAATATAAGCACAAAAATTAATTTGAAATTTAACAAAAATTCACATGGGCTTTATGGGTTGCCATGCTGGTGACGAAATAACAACGAAGCATAAACAGAAAATCAAAACAACTGGAATAAATTACAATCACATGTTTTATTTACATCGTGGGGTGAAAATAGAGAAGCCTGTACCTTTGACTTACAACTAGACATTCCATACCTATGTTAAAGCTGTCACCAGTTTTAATTAAATTTGTTGTAGTTGATGTGTGCCACCAATAGATTGTGCTGATCTAAATGACTAATTTCTCTCGAATACACGATGATTTTTACCAAATCAAACTTATTAATGACTAATTAAGAGCTATAGCAAACTGTTATGACCCATCAACTTTGTCAGCAACAAAAATAAGTTAGAAAATATAATTTTAGACACGCATACCGTGACTGGTTCACATAACTACATGTTTTTAATAAAAAAAAATGGCGACAACTGGTCCATATAAATGGAATGTCTACTTCAGTATCCAATATTCAATGCGGGTACATTACACATTTTTGGTCGGGTTTTCGACCACTGGACGACCGCTAGTTTAAATTTAATAAGCAATGTATCAAACAGATAACACCCTTTACAAATCAAACAAATTGTTGAGATGTATAAGGCTTGTCACTTCAGCACTTGGAAGATATTTAAATTGTTTATCATACACATCTTATATTTCGTAGCTATACAAATGTTATTGTATTAAAAATAGGAAGAAATAACTAACAAGGTCATAAGTAATAAGGCAGGCGCAAACAATGCAAGCCCATTAAAAATTCCCTTTAATCAAACCTTTACAAAAACAAACACTCAAAGAATCGCTGCCATTGACCTGCTAAAACACAAAAAAGGCTACTGGTGAACAATGAACTGGGTGGTTCTGAATATTTAAAGGCGTTTCAAATAGTCCGTACATATTTAACCTTTGTCATTCAACTTCATCACTTTAGTTATGACTTTTTTATAACTTTTGTTCGTTAACTATTGTACAACAAATAAAACAAATGCTCTTCATCGTACTGCAAATAAAGTCTTTTGAAAACTTTGAAAGGCGTAGTGAAAGGGAATGGAAAAGAAATGTTTTCTTTGCATTTAGATATTTGTATCTTAAAAGGATTTTAGGAAAAGCACTTTCGCAACACCTCGAGCGGGTCTTTCTATAGCGGGACCATTACACTCGAATGGTGGGTGGGGTGACTTAAATAACAGCGGTCATGTAGTGTGTGGGGTTTAAAATGTCAATTAAAAGGGAAGGGATTGTAGCAAAAATTTTAATTTTAAGGGGTTCTATTGTAAATATTTATTAGAGCATTTCTTTGTAAAATATTTGTACACATATTTTAAATAAAAAGCTTTCACAAAACAGACAGATCTTTATAAATTTCTTTCGTAGTAACGAATTTTACATATAGAAACTACTTAATAATAATATAATAACATTAATAACTACCTACCATGTACTACTACCAATACCAATGTACCAATGTGTTACTACTATGTAAATGTAATATATACTTACTTTTGTATATATAATAATTTAATACTTAATCTCAAAGTTAGGGTATTATAACATAACAAATTAAAACTTATTAGTGTATTAATTTAACATCTTTACATTGAAGTTTGAGGTTATTATACAGTACAATGTATTAACCAAGCCAGTTTTAATTGTGACACTTTAGGTCCTTTAGGACTTACAGGCAACAAATAGTGGGGATATAAATCATTGACTATATAACACACTAGTAGTGTTATATAGTCAATGTATAAATTCACCACTTGACTTTTTGTCTCTGTATTGTTTTGGTTTAATTATTCCTAATATTGTTTTCTCAATACAGTGTTAATTAATTTTTTACCAAAGTAGACATCCCTTAAATACAGTATGTAACGTGAACAATTTAAAATGGAAAATTAGTTAATAAATCTACAATTTATTTACATAGTACCTATTATTATTAAATATTTTCACAGTTAAACTTGCAATAAGACACCTAGTAGTAAATGACACCTTTACTGGTTACTAAATTTAAAATGTGTATGATATTTTTTTTATAATTCGTTGCACATCTTTCCTTTGTGTACTTTAATACTTTTACTTTGATACTTTTCAATTGTATAAAGGGCGACCCGTAAGAAAGTAAACACACAAATTTAATAGTTTAAATGAGTAAATAAAACAAAAATAAGGACAATATTCCTCCCGAAAATCGCATCATTAACGAGATATCCGCCATATATATTTTTTTTCATTTTTCTTGCTTTTCACTTTTATCTCAACCAAAATTTAAGATATGTTTATCAAATTTAGTTCTAAGTCAGAATTTAAGAAAGCCATAAGATTTTAAAAAAAATCTTTGAGTAATATATTATTGGTTTGAAAATGGTGGGGTGGTGGAATGTCATTTTTCATCAGTAAGCCTAATCAATGGTACAAATGCAGTAAAATTGTTATGACTAGTATGTAATAGGCTACATACCTTAGTCCGTCTTCGGTCTTAAATTCTAGGGACTAGGAGACTAGTTTCGGGTCAAAGACCCATTATCAAATCAATAATCATTGTCAACATCAAATCCATATATAAATCCCAAAGTACCCATGAACTTTTGAGTAAACTAAAAGTCACACACCATATACCATAAACCATATACTTAAAATAGTCATGACGAGAAACATTGCGCAAAACTATCCATAAATTGCCCTATAAGGTCGTAATTCCTTTCTAAATGGAACTTCCATATAGCCTATCAGATACCTAATGTTAAATATACCTCAGCCGTACTTATTTGTTTGTTATTCCCAAGAGTTTCTCTATAGCTTCTCATATTTGGTCCCTCGTCGTACAATGGTCTACCCGACGGCCTGAAGGTTGTTGCATCTAGCAAAACATTTAAAGAAAAACTGTATAATGTTATTATACATCGATGGTAAGAGTAAGACTGAAGACGGACTCAG